CTAGAGAACCGCAGTAATGGAACAATGGCATAAGCGAGGGGGATATTAATATAAGTGATATCCTCGACGTGATTCAAACCACGGATCCTGGTTTTATGGCCACCATAGCGATGGACAGCGAGTACGTTCAGCCGCACGTCGAGATCTTGGAACAGCCGGCCAGTAAGGCGCTGCGGTTTCGCTATGAATCCGAGGACAGGTCGGCTGGCAGCATACCAGGTGTCAACAGTACACCGGAGAACAAAACCTTCCCTAGTATACGAATCATGGCCAGAACATCATAAGGATAATACAGAATCAGCATTGCTGCAGTTGCCAAATTTTGACATAATAAATTGTGTAGTCATCGATTCTATGCACCTGCTGTATCTTGGCGTAATGAAAGCTTTATTGGAAAAATGGATATTTAAGAAAAGTATTGCAGGACTTAAAAGATGTGAGATACAGTATTTGAAAGATGTAATGGCTTCTATCACTCCAGACATACCGTGTGAATTTCAACGAAAGAAATTTGACATAAGCATATGGTGCAGATGGAAAGCGACATAATACAGATTTTTTTTATTACATTGTAGCTCAACAGTGTTGAATACTGTACTGTCTAAAGATTTTTATAGACATTTCTTACTTTTATTTGTAGCATGTCGTATGTTAAACAACCAAAATGTAACACTATCACGTTGTAATTATGCCCAAAATTTTTAAGAAAATTTTTTCATTTATTACCATCTTTTTATGGTGAACAGTATCTCAAGTATTAAATATGCATTATTTAATTCATGTAGCTGACGATGTAAAACATTTCAAGATGCCATTAAAAATAAAAAGAAAACAGTATCTAGAGAAATGTGTCTACAAAATTTCTGACATTTATAATTATAAAGGAGTAGAATACATTACTGTATCCAGCATTAAAGTGAATAACTTTACAATAAAATGTGTCCATCCTGACAATATTGTTCAAATGAAAAATAAAAAGATTTTTAGGATTAAAGTAATATTAATGAAAAGAGAAGTTATTGAGGAGATAAATAAATTACAAAATTTATACATATTGGGATATGAACTGGCTGATCCACAGGAGGCATTTAATTACCCAATTTCATCTAAAGAGGTTGGAATTACTGTTGGCAGTACATTCGTGAAATTTAAAGAAATTTTTTCAATAGAAGATGTAGAGTGCAAATGTATTTTGTTACATATTAATAATAAATTATACGTAATTTCATTATTGCATCATTAAATAGAATACAGGAAAATAATATTTTTTTCTCGACATATTCTCCACAAATTACATTTCTACTTACATGCATTTAATTGCATTTCTACTTACAACCACCTGATAGTTGATTCTCAAGAAGTAAGTATAACTATTGATTATCATTGTAAATTTTACATACATACATGCATATGCATTGATTTAATATTTTTATTAGATGGCGGGTGAAAAGAAGTTATACGCAGTAGTACTGTTTCTCCCCCGAAAGGAGAGCAAAAATTTAGTAGATTTGGTACCATCCTCCTGGATTGTCACGAAGGAAGATAAAATAATGTGTCGGTACCCTGGATCGGAGGATTATTCTAAAATAGCAGATTGGACAGCTGAAATGAATCACGAGACATTGCGAGTAGACGATTGATTCAATTAGAGCGACGTTTCAGGAAGAATAGGTCGTTGCAAGAACAATATGTAAGCTTCATGCGCGAATACCAGGATCTCGGGCATATGTCTGTCGTGCGTGATGTGTCACAAGAGATTCCAGGTAAAATCGTTTATCTTCCACACCACTGTGTGTTTAAAGAACCAAGTAGCAGTACGAAAATTAGAACGGTATTCGACGCATCAAGCAAGACAGACTCCGGAGTAGCATTAAACGATGTACTTCACGTAGGGCCCACATTACAGAGCAACTTGATAGAGATAGTCATGCGTTTTCGTTTTCACAACATTGCGTTAACCGGAGATTTGCGCAAAATGTACAGACAAATAATTATGCATCCATCTGACCGCGATTATCAGCGCATATTATGGAGAGAATCCCCTGAGGAGTCCTTGCGAGAATTTAGACTAAATACTAGGGTTGTAACGAATATTCGCTTTCGCATATGCGAAAGCGAGACTTTCGCATCATTTTAGACTCTTGCTTTCGCTTTCGCTTTCGCAACTAATTATGCGAAAGTTTTAGCGAAAGATTTTGTCCGGCCCGCACGTAGAACTCTAACCTAACCTACAATATTTTAGAGCTTTATTTTATTCTGAAATGATAGAAAATGTTTATTTTGTTTGATTAGAAAGTGATATCTCCGTTCCTGTTCTGTGTTACATTGAATAATGTATTTTATATGATTATAATTAAAATAAACAAGTTACTAATTTACTAATTTGCATTTCTCATTCAATAATTTGAATTAGAAATATTTTTTAATTATTATTAGATTATTAATTACATAACATTTTTTCCTAACTGTCAATTATATCATTCAGTAGAAAGAAACAAGATCTTTCGCATTCGCATTCGCTTTCGCTTTCGCTTTCGCAAAAAGATATGTTTTCTTTCGCTTTCGCATTCGCTTTCGTTATAACCACTTTCGTTACAACCCTACTAAATACCGTTACCTATGGCGAAGCGAGTTCGTCGTATCTGGCTATTAAATGTATTCGTCAAATCGCGGAACAAGCGGGAAGCGAATTTTCTATTGCGGCACGAGTTATATTCGATGAAATGTACGTAGGTGATATTCTGACCGGAGCTGACAGTGTCCAAGGAGTCATCGAGACGCAACGGCAGCTTACAGCATTGATGCAAACGGGCGGATTTGAAATCCACAAATGGTGCACGAACTGTCCGGTAAGCTTGGCCCATTTACCACAAGAGCAACGAGAAGATCCTTCGAAGCGCAGTATCGACGCTAATGACACCATCAAGACGCTAGGTCTTGAGTGGAACCCGAAGAACGACATGTTTTGTTTCTCGGTGAAACGAACGGAATCTGCTACCACAAAGAGGCAAGTATTGTCGACAATCAGCAAAATTTTTGATCCGCTCGGATTGATTGGCCCAATCTTAACCGCTGCCAAGATACTGATGCAGGAGACATGGCGAATCGAAGCTCAATGGGACGAGCATCTTCCATCCACATTTGTCGAGAAGTGGGAACAATTTAGGCAAGATCTCAATTCGGTGGAGGCGATATTAATTCCAAGACGGATTATATCGTGTGACAAGCCAGAGCGAATATCTCTTTTTGGATTCTGTGACGCATCGGAGGCAGCGTACGGGGCTTGCCTGTACATACAAGCCGAAGATAAAAACGGAATACTCACGTCAAGGTTGCTGTGTTCCAAATCACGAGTCGCACCTGTCAAACCAACTTCAATACCTCGGTTGGAGTTGTGTAGTGCAGTTCTATTGGCTCGTCTGATTGCAAGCGTTCGTAAGGGCTTACGAGTGCGAATTAACGATATTCGAGCCTGGTTCGATTCAACTGTCGCACTGTGTTGGATTCGTGGCGATGTATCTCGTTGGAAATTATTTGTCGCGAATCGAGTGTCCGAGATTACCCAGATATTACCAGCGGAGCATTAGAGTCATGTCCAAGGTAGAGAGAATCCCGCTGATTTAGTATCTCGTGGCACCAGTCCGAATCACCTCAAGAATTCCTGTCTATGGTGGTCGGGGCCTCAATGGCTACAAGAAAGACGTCCATCGCCTGACGACGGTTCAAGGTTCGAGTTCCCAGGCGAAACACTGGCAATGATCAAAATTGAAGAACGAAAGTTGTCCGTTCCCAGTTGCAATCTCGTCAGCGAGAAACAACAGCCGAGTCGAGAAGTCATCGAACGATTCTCGTCACTCACCAAAATTGAACGAGTTTGGGCATATGTTATGAGATTCACGTCAAACCTGTCCAAGGGATCGATTGAGCGAACATTCGGCAGATTATCGGTAGCAGAATTGCAAGAGGCTCATCGACATCTGGTTAAGCAAGTTCAAGCTACTCATTTCGCAGAAGAAACATCGGCATTGCAAGGTGGTCGCGACTTGAAGACTTCTAGTAAACTTCTTCAATTGCGTCCCTTTGTCGATGATCACGGCGTGCTCAGGGTGGGCGGTCGATTGCAACACGCGTTGCTATCATTCGAGCGGAAGCATCCCATCATATTGCCGTCTGGAGATCGATTTACAAGATTATTATTCGAACGAGAACATCGACGATTGTTACACGCAAGCCAACTGTTATTGTTGTCATCAATCAAGGAGCGCTATTGGCCTCTCAGAGGTCGAGACTTAGCACAACAAGTGTGCCGTACATGCGTTTGTTGCGCAAGAAACAAGCCACCAGCTTCATCGCAAATTATGGGGTCGTTACCAAGCGATAGAATTCATCCGAGTCGAGCCTTCACAATCACTGGCGTCGATTTTGCCGGTCCTATAACGACTCTAGTTAACAAGGAACGTGGACGCAAGACGAACAAGTCCTACATTGCTTTATTTGTATGTTTTTCAACCAAAGCCATTCATTTGGAAGCCACAAGCGAGTTGAAAACCGCTGCATTCGTCGCATCCCTGAGACGATTCATCGGTCGACGAGGAAGGCCACGCACCCTGTACAGCGACAATGGTACAAACTTCATCGGAGCAAATCGCGAATTGAGAGAAGTTTATCAGTTCGTTCGTGCAGAAGTAGAGACTGGCATCGGTGACATGTTTGCAAACGAAAACATCGAGTGGAAATTCATTCCCCCCGACTCTCCACACATGGGAGGACTATGGGAAGCAGGGGTAAAATCTTGCAAGTACCACCTCAAGCGAATTATGGGCAACGTTCTATTCACCTTTGAGGAACTGGCTACAGCGCTCAGTCAAATAGAGGCGTGCTTGAACTCGAGGCCGCTATCTTCAATGTCTGCGGATCCAATGGATTTACAACCCCTCACGCCAGCGCATTTTTTAATAGAAGAAGCATTGACGAGTTTGCCTGACGTTAATGTAACGATAATTCCGCTGAACCGTTTAGACAGGTGGCAGATGATTCAGCGAGTATTTCAAGATTTTTGGAAACGGTGGGTGGCAGAGTACCTCAACAATCTTCAGGGCCGCAGAAAGTGGCGAATTGCAAAGGAGAATTTAAAGGTCAATGATCTGGTGATCATAAGAGAAGAGAACCTTCCGCCTCTCAAGTGGAAATTGGGTCGAGTCATAGAGTTGCATCCAGGCAGCGACGGTCTAGTTCGAGTCGCTACAGTTCGCACATCCGGTAATAACGTCAAACGATCCATCGTAAAACTTTGTAAGGTGCCTCTAGCGTCAGATTCCGATTCACAAATTAGCTGCGCTAATTTGGTGGGCGGTATGTTGGGCATAGGACATTAAAGCGTAGTTCATAAGTGCGCGCACGAATCGAGCGCTGTGCTCGAGCGGCTGTATGTACGTGGTTAGATGGCGTGCGAACAAAGGATAAAGCAGTTAGTTGAGCAGTAGCAAGCAGCGATACAAGACGTTTGTAAAATCTGTATCCGCATCTGAATAAACCATCGCATATATCTTGGAACGAGTACCTGTATCATTACGAACACAGTATTTTTCATATAATTAACATAACGCTATTACACTTTTTTTTATTGATTTGTATGAAGAATAATATTTGACTAATTTGCACGAAGTATTGACTATTTTTTCAGTTTTAATAAATAATATATTTACGCGTAAATACGATACTTTTTAGTTTTAATGGCATTTGAGTTGTTCGTTTAAAGCAGTGGACCCTAATTATTTTTGAATAGTGTTTTATACATAATATATTGTATCGATTCGTCGATTGAACAATATATTATAATATGAACAAACGAACGTCGAGATGTTCGTTGCGTTTTAATTTTTTATATGCCGTTATGCATTGTTAAATGTGCAATACATCATATGTAAAGCAAATTAAACTATTAAAATTACTCCAATTTATATAAAGATTGAATAACACTAATTGTATGTATATTGTATACCTATCTACATATACAAATTTAAGCAGATAAAACAGCTAGTCTACTCATCAGACAATTAAATGTAATTCGATCCAAAGATAAAAATCCAATTCACATTTAATTGCTTGGTGAACATATTCTATCTGCTTTGTCTACTTGAATTCGCAATATTTTAATTATGTCCAATTTTGGTCCATTTTATGCGTAAAATGGATGTTTTTTGAAAGTCCAAAAGGGTAACACTGTACGTCTTTAAAACATCCTAAAGATGTTTACGGCTCTAATTCGGATGTTTGAAATACGTCCAAAACATCCAATATATACATTTTTAATACGTTTTTAAAACATTACTGTGCTGTCTGGGAACGACTTGATACTGAGTGCCTGTCAGCAGCTGGGAGTGCCGAAAAGAAAAGGCAATGATACCGATCGGCTGATGTGTCTAAAATTAATTTTGGACCAGGAAAACGTGGACGTCCGTTGCACAGACAGTAAGTACACCTCAATGTATGTCATGAGTAACAGAAGGCATTCTGATATTGCCGATTTAGGGAAATTTACAATCATTTTTTTAAACTTCAGGAAAGTAGTGACATTTAAACGATGCAAGATAAATATACTATAATATACTGTAATATACCCCGAGAATAATCTTCACCAGAAGCATTTCACAGCCCTGCATATTGCAAGGAAGCAGAATAACATATTTAATGGACTTATTAATTATAACCGCTAGACCGCCAGCAGCAATTCAATTAGAAACACAAGATTATAATCTGGACAGCTCAAATGTGTATTCGGATGAAACCATGTTTTAGTGATAAGAGCAATATCAATTTTATTGTATTGTTATATATGACATCGTAATAATATTGTACTAAACTTGATTTTGACATTGTACATCTTTGGGGGGATAGTATCGATCACAGAGTACTAAACGAGATACGAAAAGTGTAATTTCAATTAGAAGAATCCAATTAAATCTTTATAACGAAGAATGCATGGTATCTAAATAATTATTTGTTATATATAATTTTTTAACGTCTACAAAATAATGTTATTGCACCAATTCGTTATATAACGTGCTCTTCGTCAGTTTCACAGTATCGTGTATTCGACAAGGAACAGTTTGAAACCGATCGAAAAGAGTGGAGGCAAGCGAAAACGACGTCAACGAAAGATTCGAAAGACTCAGACCTTTCGAAGAAAAAATCCGTTGAAAACCCGTATGTAAGAATTTGACAAAAAATTATGGATAATCTCTTGCACGATTTTTGTAAAAATATTTTCTGCTTTTGCGTGAAACCGGTGAAATTATTACGTGCAAGATTTTTAGTAAGAGAAAGCATATGGTATTAAAAAAAAACACTTGTGTATAACTTTTTAAAAAGAGAGTTCTACTTCCACATTAATTTATTCTTGCAATATTTAAGGTAAACGGCCCTGTTTCTGACACTGCCGTAGTTTCTGACACTAACGGTACATTTATATTTGTAATGAATGAAGTTTTTGTCAAACATTAAAAAGATTACAGGCAAATTAAAGAACGCTGCTTTCTATTGATTATTGCAGAGACACATTTTTTAAAATCTTTCGAATAATATTTAAATTTACCGGTGAAAGGGGCGACTCGTTTTTCAGTGGCTTCTGAACGGCATTCTTGTCTGGACACATCTTAGCGGTAGCAGGTCTAAAATTGCCGATTTTTAGCGTCACGTAAGTATTAATCGCTATAAAAATTATGTAAACACGTTCAGCACGAACCACATTATCTATCAGAAAGTAATAATTTATCTTTATCTTAGTTTTTCTCTTAAATTTCCGAAGTCAATAAGGGCGTCACACAATTACGGTTATGTTTCACTTTCTGACACCGAATTCGTAACCTATTTGTATTTATAACTGTTTGTAGTTTTATTCAATATATTGATAATATATGTACATTGGAAAAAGAAAAAATCTGCTGCAGCAAAGTTAGAGGAAGACGTGATGGAGACTTCGGAGGCAGCTAATTCAATAACTGCATTTCAGACTGCATCGAAAAGGAACAGAATACTTTTTCCAAACTAAGTATATTTAGATTGCATTTTCAATAGGAATTATTTTAATATATTTTATTTTTAATATGCTTAGGGAAAATAAAAATCTGCTACGATGTACACAGATGCTACACTCAAGAATGATTTAGACGCAATAAAAATAGGGATGCCTGTCAGCACTGCATCGAAGCTGTACAATATCCCAAGAACTACGTTGCTGTACAAAAAACGTGGCACATTGGCACCTGTTATTAAATCTAGAGGACCTGAGTGTATACTTGGAGAGGAATACGAACATCTCGTACAGTGGATTTTGTATATGAGCCAAAGTGGATTTCCTGTGTCACGGGTCCAACTCTTTGATAGCGTTCAACTGCTGCTTAAACAGACAAAGAAGACGACAGTGTTTAAAGATAATCGCCCTGGCAGACACTGGTATGATGCCTTTCGTGCGCATCACAAGAATTTGACCGAACGAATGTCTCAGAACTTGACACACAGTCGAGCCTCAGTAACGGAAGATAAGCTACGAACGTGGTTCAACGAGGTGCGGATGTATTTTGAATCGAAGTCGCTTCTTCATATTGATCCTTCTCGCGTATTCAATTGCGATGAATCAGCTTTTTTTTAGTCCCAAAGAAGTAAAGTATTAGTAAAAAAAGGTGACAAAACAGTTTATAATTTTGTAAATAACGATGAAAAGGAATGCTTGACTACGCTCATCTGTGGAAATGCGGGCGGAAAAATTGCTTTTTTTCTAATTAGAAATTTGCACATTGCTTCCATTGTTATGGCTTCCTCATAGAGGAAGCTTTAAGAACGAAATAAGAAAATTTGAATACTTTCAAGAAACATCGTAGTAAAGTTAGATTTCTCTCTTAAAGCTTCCTCTATGAGGAAGCCATAACAATGGAAGCAATGTGCAAATTTCTAATTTGCCTACTTTAATGGTGAGGAAGAAATGTGCAAATTTCCAATTTGCACGCTTCAATTA